TGGGTTTAAAGGCGTGCTCCACCATGCCCAGCCCTCTAGAACACATTTTTAAATTATTTCCTTATAATGTTCAGGATCTTTTCAATATATGATGTAATGATTCTGCTTTGGATTTGGATTTGGATTTGCTCTTTCTTTTAAATACATGGACTAGGGGTCATTTTACCTATCCAAAGAAACAGCTCTTAGATTCAGTATTTATTTATCTTTTTTATTTGTTTTTATTTATTTGCTTTCTGTTCATTTTATTTCTTCTAGTCTTTTGGGTTTGGGTGTGGTTTGCTCATGCTTTCCAAAATCCTTGATTGTACAAATGAATCATTTATTCTTGTACTTTATGATTTGTAAACATAGGTAGTTAGAGCTAAAATTTCCCTCTTAGGATTGCTTTTAATGTGTCTCAGCTATTTGGTAGTATGTTACCATTTTCATTTATTTCCAGGAATACTTTATTTTTTTATTTCTTCTTTGACTTATTCCTCATTCAGGCATATTTTGATAAATATCCATGAGTTCATACAACAAGTAAAGCTTTTTAAATGTGGATTTTATGTTTTGCTGCATTTTGTCTTATAGAATACATGGGATAATTTCAATTTTCTTGTATCCTTTGAGTTTTGATCTGTGTTGCAGTAAATGGTGTATTTTAGAGATTTGTTACTGAACAACTCAAAAGAATGTGTATGCTTTGATGCTTGGATAAAATGCTTGGTAGATGTCTTTAAGGTCCATTTGATGTATGATATAATTTAATTCAGATTTTTCTCTGTTTATTATTTGTCCAGATGACCTGTCTAATGGAGAACATGGGATATTGATGTCACCTACTTTTGCTGAGTTTGTTTTAATCTGTACTTCATAATGATTTATGTAACTGGGTGCAGCAGAGTTTGGCTCACATATGTTCATTATTGCTATGTCTTTGTGATCAATTGTTTCCTTACTCAGAAAGTACTGACCTTGTTTTCTCTTCTGATTAATTTTAACTTGACATCTATATTTCCAGATATTAGAACAGCAATTCCTGCATCTTTCTTTGTGCCATTTGCTTGAAATATTTTTTCTCTTCCTTCCCAAGGTGGTATCTATCCTTGGAGGTATGATGTATTTCTTGTGAACAACAAATACATGGACTTTGTTTCCTGATAAATTTAAATAACCATTTTTTGACTGAGCAGTTGAGGACCATTGATATTTAGAGTTATTATTAAAATATATGAATTGTTTACTGTCACTTTATTTTTTGTTTGTGTTCTCAGTCTTATTTTTTCCCTTATTTTATACATTCATTTTTTTTTTCATTCTGTAACTTCTTAAGTGTGGTCATTTCATTCTTTAGTCCTTTGTGTTTCTTCAAATGCCCCTGCATGGCTGGTTTGGGGGACATGAATTATTTCAACCTGTTTATTTCATGAAATTTTTTTTCTTTCCTCTTTAACTATGACAGGTAATTTTTTTGGATAAAGTATTTTGTTTTGGTAGTTATGGTCATTTAGAACTTGAAATACTTTGCTCTAGGTTCTTCTGGGTTCTATAATTGCCATTGAAAATCCATCTTTTATTCTGATGAGTTTTTGTTTATATGCAACTTGTTTTTCTCTATCAGCATTCATTCAATATCTTCTTCTGTTCTACACACTTAGCATTCTTACTATGATATGCTATGGAGAGTTTCTGTTCTGGCCCTGTCTAATTGGAGTTCTATGTGAATCTTATATCTGTATACTTATGTCTTTCTGTAATTGTTCTTATATAATTGTTCTTATATAATTCTGTTGAAGAGCTGGTCAGTTACACTGGCCTCAGATTCTTATTCTTTCTCTGTGATTAAGATGAAGATATTTGGTCATTTCATGGTGTCTCACATTTCCTTCACATTTTGTTCCTGTGTTATTTTTAACTTTTTTTCTTATTCTTTGCTTGATCCATCCAATTCTTTAACTTTAGAATTCAATCTTGATGTTCTGTTTTCCATTTCATCCCTTCTATTTGTGAGGCTTTCTCCTGTTGTTTCATATTGGATCATCATTTTTCCAATCCATCTTCATTTTTGGTGAGTTTGCTTCTGTATTTCTCTCTCTTCTGTGAATTCACTTTTCATGTCCTGAATTGTTTTTGACATTTCGTTGATCTCTATTTTCCTATTTTCTTGAGTTTCAGTAAGGATTTTACATTCCTATCTCTTGGAGTTCTTTGAGTTGTTTGTTGTGTGTTCTTTAAAGTCCTTGAATTCTGTGTGTTTATGATTGTCCTTACATAATTTAATACCCTTGGACTCCTCACTGGAGTTCTCACTGTAATAAACTTCTATAGGACTGGTGAGTTTTGTTGGGGACATAGAATCTTGGTTTTTTTTAATATTATTTTTGTTTGGTGTTGGGTTCTGATCATATGAATTTCTTTTGTTGGTTGTGTTTCTGATATGAAATTCTAGCCTGACTTTTAGTTGAAATTTGGTTTTGTTTATATTGTTAATATAGTTTCATTGCTTTCTGATTCAGCATGAATGTTTGGTCTGTGCTTCAGATTTTGACTTTTGATTTTTTAATGGCAGGTCAGGATGGTTCCAAGCTGGCTAGTAAGGAGCCTTCCCTCAGGGTTTGGAGGCCTAGTCAGAATTTGAGAATATATGAATCCACTTGCCTGGCTCAGGAAGGTTAGTATGGAGGTGTCAGGAGGGATTATTAGACAGGGACCTAAGCCCAAACGAATGATGAGGACAGTTTTGGGAGGTTCAAGCTAGCTAGACAGAGTAGATATAAACCCTGGAGCAGGAGAATATAGCAAGTCATGGAGCAGGGGAATACAGGTACCAAGTAACAATGGGCCATGTCTAGCTTATGTGGTTAGTATGTAGATGTCAGGTGGGTGAGCAGCTTCATGACAGTGATAGTATTAGCATGCAGATTTTCCAACTAGCTAAGTGGACTAACATCTGTTAGTCCTGGAGAAAAAGCAGAATCTGAAATATTTTTATGCAGATTTTATAGAGGAGATCTGTGTAGAAAGCAAGAACACCTCGCACTGTCCACAGCTACCTTTACTTCCAGTGCTCCTGTGCTTGACTGAACCAGTCATCGATGGAAATGTTACATAGAACTTTGTCATTTGAGTTCTTAGTTTTTAAAACTACAACCTTTGCCAATATTTATTTTGATTTAAACATCAGAATACATGAAAACTTTTAAAGAAAAAAAAAACTTCATTAAGGAAAGATTTTCAAAATGTTAAAAAATAAAATGCAGATATTGGTTACAAAAATATTTTGATCAAGCATTAATAAAACTGCATATTATGTGCACATCTTTACATGATGATGATGATGATGATGATGATGATGATGATTATTATTATTATTATTATTATTAATCCCACAGAAGCTGACAACTTATCTGTGGTTTATATGTGAGAGCACCAATGTTCATTTTAAATATACTTCACCCTATGAAGTCTTCAAAGATTGCAGCCTAAACTATTCGTTTTTTACTCTCATATCAAATACTTTTCCAAATTCACTAGAGAAACAAGCATCTATCCAGGCTTTAAATGGAGGACTCAAATCATAAATACAATAAATTAAAAAATCAAAATAGAGTGAGTAAACAAAGGTAGTATTATGGTGGTAAACAGGAAAGCTAAATTACTGTTTGCTGGTTAATGGTGGATTACTCTTGAAAGTGGACTCCAAGAATTACAGAGTTCCACATCACAGAACCCACAAATGTTACCTTATTTGGAAAGTATTTGTTTGTAAATATGATTGAATATAGAAAGTTAACCTTGGAAAAAAAATCCTCACTTTTGTGCTAGGATAGGTGGTAGCTATGAATACTATCAAGGAAAAGGGATATGTTCCCTCACAGGAAGAGATCAAAGTTTCAAGTTTTTCCTGTACTTGTGCATAGGCAAAGGAATAGACGTGTAGAGAAGGAACAGAGAGAGACTCAAAGGTCTTAGGAATGAGTGAAGTCATATAAACATAAGATGAGTGCTCTCTGCAGGTTTTAGGAACATATCCCCCCTTTAGACAGAAAAATGATGAGCTCTATACACTGAATTTGAGCCATTAATGATGAATTCTAAACCATCAGAGAATAATGAACTATATAATACCAAGACAAGAATTTTGTGGTAATTTGTTGAGAAAACCTAGAAACTAAAGAAAATATAAAGGAAAATATTTTAGAAATGCAGTATGTGAATAACAGAATTTCCAAAATAGAAAAATGGAAAAAATAAAAGAGATGAAATCATTAAAAGTAATGTATAATATTAATAATTAAATATTTTTACTCCTGGATTCAGATAGAATATAGAACAAATGATAAGATTAAAAATAATTATAGTAGTAATTCTTAATTAACTGTTCTGTTACATTAAGACATAAATGATACTTATAATTAAGATGTTTGAGTTATTTTTACAACCATTATCAAAATATGGGGAATACAATCAGTTCTTTTCTGAAAATGAAGTTTTTGAAGACTGAAAAACCACCTTGTCACAGTAGAAAAGCAATAATCAGAAAATAAAGTGGCCAAAAAGTGATATCTAGAAACAGATATAAATAAATAGAAACCCAATGGCATATTTTAAAGAAATATTACATACTATGACAAAAGTGCATATTTCCTCTAATGAAAGGGACATCAATTTAATAAAAATGTTTGTGCATCAATCGTCATGACAACACATTAATATGCCTTTTGCTGAAAATATACCGTATATATTTTAAACCAATAAGTTGTTTTTATTATACACATAACAAAAAACAACCATCCAAAGTGAAAACAAAATTAAAATAAACAGTGGAAGTGGAAGACTCATTAAACTCAGTCCTGAACATGGTGTGACTTATCACACTCAGTGGACAAGAACAGCCTTGGACTATACAGTCCCATTGCTCTTGGTTTTCTTTTCCTTGTTTCACATCTTATCCACATCCATCCAGACACAAGAATGTAAATCTCCTTTCAGCATTCCTGAGTTTACTGAAGAACTCAGTTGCTCAGCTTCTCAGAAAGTAACTTGGATCCCACTACTCTTTTGAAAGCCTCTTTCACATCCTTGTTCCTGAGGCTGTAGATCAAGGGGTTCAGCATAGGAATCACTACTGTGTAGAACACTGTGGCTACTTTATCAGCTTCCCGACTGTTTCCTAGGCTAGGCTGACAATAAATGAACAAGATTGTCCTGTGGAAAACAGCAATAGCTGTGAGGTGGGAGGCACAGGTGGAAAAGGCTTTTTGCCTTCCATCTGCAGAGTGCATTCTCAGGATAGTGATGAGGATAAGAAAGTATGATGTGAGTATAATCACAATGGTAAAGATCTCATTGAAAGTGGGCACAATAAAAGCCATGAGTTCATTAATCGATACATCAGAGCAAGCAAGAGAAAACACAGGTGGTAGATCACAAAAGAAATGATCCACCACATTTGATTTTTAGGATGGGATCTCAAGAGCTAAACACAAGTGAATTAGAGAACACACTGTTCCACAGAGATAACAGCCAGACACCAACCCCACATGAAGTATTAAAGACATGGTAACTATATAGAGTAGTGGGTTAGAGATGGCCAAGAAGTGATTGTAGGCCATAACTGCCAACAAAAAGACTTCAGTCACCACAAATGTACTAAACAAGGAGAACTGCACCATGCATCCGAGGAAGGAGATGTCTTTGCTGTTCTTTAAGATACCAGCCAACATCTTTGGAACAATGACAGTGCAATAGCAAAAATCTACAAAGGACAAGTGGCAAATGAAAAAGCACATCGGGGTACACAGTTGAGGGCTGAGCTGGACCAGTGCAATCATGCCCAGGTTGGCCACAGTTGTGATGACATAGATAAGAAGGAACACTAGGAAGGGGAAGCTCCTCAGCTCAGGAGCAGCTGATAGTCCGAGAGGAATGAATTCTTTCACAGCGGTGCAGTTCTCTGCCAGCATTGCTGCCATATGTCAGAAACCAGAAAAACTTGCTATGCTTTATATGTCCTTCTACAAATAAAACAAGAGATAAAATGTGTTTGTATTCCATTTAAAAAGTAGTTAAATATCAAAATGTATCACAGATATCAGAATGTTTATGAATTGTGAATAAAGCGTAACTACAAAGAACTTAAATACCAAGTAAATCCACTAATATAAAATAATTTATGCAACCCAATCTTTTCTTCCCACATGAGGTTTTTAAAAAGTATGTTATTGAATCCTTTTTACATTTCATATAATAAACCTTAATCAAATTCAGACCCACACACACACTCACACCTCCTATAATCCCCCCCTGCCATCAACTTTAATGCATTCTTTCATATATGTTAAGTTCTTTCTGGTCAAATGTTTTTACCCAGGTGTTCATCCACTGGAGTCTAGACAGCCTAGGTAGGGCCACTCCCTTAAAGAAGATCCACTCTCCCTCACCCAGCAATAATCAGTTGCCAGTAGTTCCTTGGCTAAGGTTGCGTCCTCCTGCCCATTTCCCCCTTTCTATGTTGGGTTTTTCTCTGATTGTGTCGACATGGGTCTTGGGAATGATGTCACCACTGTTGCAAGTTCATACGAAGAAGAGTTCACAACTGGTTGCACACAGTGTATATATCTGTCACATCTACTGTGGAACCTCTACCTAAGGGTCACGAAACATAGCACAATAGGGAGTAGAGCAAATGCTAATACATATCTCAATTCTCACCAGTGAGTCTTCCTTATACTACAAAGTGTGATCACACAGAAGGCCACAACTGGCTGTTTGAGAATAAAAGACTGCAGAGTGCATGTCCCTAGATAGGACTCCTGTATTAAACTTCACCCACATGAGTTTTAAATGACCCGTTAACATTGATCTTTTCATAGACTTTAGAAGACTTGACTTTCCAGTTTAAAGCAGACAGTAAACACTCCTTTTTCCTATAGTAATTATTAATATGTGTCCAACTATAATGATAGCTACTGTAACTCTATATAATTAACATCTAAGTACCTTTACTGCAACTGATAACATAATTTTTGCATATCAATATAGCTCTATTAGTCACAGTGAATTTTCTTATATGAAAACATCATGTTCATGCACCATGCTTCCACTGTTTCATTGCTGTCTCTGTAGGCACATGGAACAGACACTATTTTTTAAATTAGTGCCTCTGTAATCATTGAGGTGCTCTATGATTTCAGATTTAGGAAGGATGATAACTTTGGTATTTTTTCTGTCTCAGGAATCATTTAGAATCATTCAGAATCACTTTGCCTGCAAAAATCAATTAAAAATGTACTACAAAAGCCATAGTGTTATGTATCAAATTGGTAGTTGTCGAATTAATTTAAATATTCATCAAAAAGATGAAATCTTAAGGATAATGTTTCTTGGAAGGACCAGCTGCCATTTATCTGGTCTTAATCCAGACAATGACAAAAACTTATTGAAATTTTTTTGTAATAATGTTTATTCCTAAAAAACTAAGATATACTGGAACATATTATTTAAGACTATAAAATATAGTTGTATAAACTCTGTCTGTCCATGGTTTATGTTGTCATTTTAGAAAAAAACCAATATTTAATGTTAAAATGTGTTAAAATAGAAGTAACATTAAATTATGGTGCATCCAATCTAGGGTGAAAAATGAAATCCTGTTTAGCATTGTTTTAGAGACGATTCGTTAAAATACATAAATGAGACCATAGGAAGAGGAATGTGCATAGATAAATACCAACGTATTATTGCAATGTGGCTGTGTTTTGAAGGATTTTTTTTTGTTGTTCTTTTTGAAAAAGGGTCTCCCTGTAGCCCCAGCTGTCCTGGAACTCACTACGTAGACCAGGCTGGCCTTGAACTCACAGAGATCCGCCTGCCTCTGCCTCCTGAGTACTGCGATTAAAGGCATGCACCACCATCCCTGACTGAAGGAATATTTTTATTTACTTTAGAAAACTGGTAAATCAAAATTTCCCATTTCTTCAAATTGCTAGTTTCAGAAACAGGTAAGTAGAAACTGCCATCTATGCCTCTCCTTTACTGAAAAGTTATGAAATTTTCCTCTCTTCCCCCATTAAACAAACTGAGGAGATTATTTGTGATGGCAAAAACATGTCACAATGAAAACTGAATGAAGAGAACATGGACTTTAGCATTGTCTTCCACTCTCCACTTTTGGAGGCAAATTTAAAGTGGTAGCAAATTCAGATCACAAAGTCATTTCTACCTAAAAACATAATCTAATTTCCTTCTCCAGAGTCAAAGGTGGAAAATCAGTTACCCACTGTTTGTTTAAGTTCACAATAGAAAATTTGTTTATATGTAATACTTATTGAATCCAAATGAATTCACTTCCTACTGAGCCAAGAGTGATTACATGACCAGACTGCAAGCACAGGCAAATAACTTTCAGAATTAAGATGCTGCTTGTTGAGTTCCATAGTGACCTTAGAACTTAAATCAAAATCCTAAAGTGTAAGCGGAAACAAAGGGAATATGTGTGCTAAAAGTAGATAAAGCAAGAGAGAGAGAGAGAGAGAGAGAGAGAGAGAGAGAGAAATAACCCTGATTTTAGTCAGTATTTTTCTATAGACACGAATGTTTGCTGTGACAGAAAATTGGTCCTGTCAGTTGCCTCTTAAAAAATAAACCTATTTTATAGAGAAAGTGGGAAAACAGCTTGTAAACATTAATTAATTTGATGAAAAAGCATTAGACATTTCTTCAAAAAGATTTTTCTTGGAAAATACATCCCTTTCTATTTTCCAGCTATTTGCTCCTCATTTTAAGTTACAAACCTGAGACATCTCTTTTCTTGTGCTGAGGATGTTTTCTCTTACATAAATATTTTGACACACTCCTGGGAAATGAGTCCCTGAATTGAAATAATTAGCAATCTCTATATTATACCACAATATAAAGACATAGAAATACATGAGATAAGATACAAAATGTAATTAATCCCTATGGAATAATGTCAGCATTGTTAAAAATAGTCTAATTCAAGAAAATTATTTTTATTTTTGTTTTGTTTAATTTTGTCTGTGTGTGTGTGTGTGTGTGTGTGTGTGTGTGTGTGTGTCTTGCATACATTTGTGTAGGTACTTGTACCTTTGCATACAGAGGTCTGAGGAGGAGGTCTGGTCTTCATTTTATTCTGTTGAGGCAGGTTCTCTCACTGAACACCGTGTTCCCCTGAGAGCCAGCAAGCTGCAGAGTTCCTCCTGTTTCTGTCCTTACTCCAGCCCCTGAGCATTGGGGTCACAGGCACATGCAACCAAATCCAGCTTTTTATGTGGAATCAGGACATTCAAACTCAGATCTTCTTACTTGTGCTCAAGCACTTCTACCCATTGAGCTATTTCCCCAGTCAGAGAGACTTCCTTTTTAAACTTAACCTGCTGCCTTTCAGTCTTCACTTGTCAGGTTGAGAATTCTAAATGCTATTATTGTTTGTAGGTAACAGCATATTTTTGTATGTTCAAATAACTCAGCTTTTGACATAATATTACAAAAGAACTTTGCTTCTGGAAGGTGAGCCTGTCTAAAATCACACCAGAATTTTTTGTGACTATGATACAGGTAATAAATTAGATAGTCATAAAAATATAGGAATTCACATTTTTAAAATTTGTTTTTATTGAATTTTTGTGTATTTCATACAGAACATCTAAATCAATCTTAATCAACATTATACCCCCATCGGCACTGGCATTTGGCAAGGATGTACTGAAATTAAAGGCTAGGCCAATGACCAGTTAACTGAAGGACAAAGAGTGAAGACTAACAAAGCAAAATTCCGTCCTGCAGGGCAACAAAGGAAGTGATGAAATTGAAGAAAAAACTGGATCTGGTACCATTGGGATGGCGATCAGAACCCTCCCCCAGAGGCAACCTCCTGTCTTTTGAAAAATACTAAAGTGAGGAGTGTGCACAGATGCTGAATGTTTGGGAATGAAATGAGTAATAATTTTCTTTCAAATATTAGTGAATGGATAATTGATTGAACTAAATTCTTTCTTCCCTTCCTTCCTTCCTTCCTTCCTTCCTTCCTTCCTTCCTTCCTTTCTATCTTAAGATAGGGTCTCATGTAGCCCAGGCTGGCCTTGGACTTGCTATATAGCCAAGAATGGCCTTGAACTCTATATATAATCATCTATCTGTCTATCACTGTTGATCTTTTGGTTTATTGATCTATCATCTGTCATCTACTTAACAACACTTGAGTGATTATCCTGTCCATTGTTTTTCACTTTAAGGTTATCGCTCATTTTATAAACATGAAATTGAGTGCTAGTAACATACTTTAAATTGGGCAAGGGTCAATGGGGAAGTTGTGTATGGAAGGATCTAAAGACCATTAAATTATAGGTATGAAATTCACAAAAATTCAATAAATGTTTTTATAAATTTAATATTTTAGGTACATGAGTGAAAACTAAACATTACATGGATAGATCAAGCTCAGTATGTCATTTGCAAGAGTGTTGGTAAAACTCTTTACCTGGGGGAGATGTCATCAACATTTGCCCCTTCCTCTTTTGATTCCAGCAAAAACTCAGGAGTGATTCCACCAAAGTGTACTTCAAGCACCCAATGAGTTTATTGGGCTTTTATAGAGCAATCAGTGAGGGGATACTTACAAGTGATTTGTACCCCCCCATCCCAAGTCTTCACCTGAGCATGGATGATGGCTTCTACACAGCTGTGTGTGGAGTCCCCCTCTCTTAGTATCCTTCAGTCTATAAACTTCTCTATCCCTTCAGGCTAGTCCGCCTGAAATTAGGGCCATGTTGCCCTCCAAGAGTTTGGATGTGTGGCTCCATAGCCAACTGAGGATCTTGTAACTCTCCATGTCCTTCCATCTATGTAGGGTCCTCAGTAGTCAACTCTGCAAGCAGGCAGAGATGATCTCACAAAGATAACAATGTTCTGTAAGAAGACCATCCTCTATAACAGGGACCTAAAA